CGTGGTGGCATGCACCTGTAGTCCCAGCTACTGCAGAGGCTGAGACAGGAGAATCACTTGAAACCAGGAGGTGGAGGTTGCAATGAGCAGCGATTGCACTGCTGCACTCTAGCCTGGGCAACAGCGAGATTCTGTCTCAAAAGAAAAAAGGTCTGTTTTTGAGATTTTTAATACTTCTAATCTATTGAGGCCAGTGTTTAAAATATAATAAAAATTAATTACTGACTTGTATGATTTCATATGGTCCTTTTTTTATTTAGAGAGAAGGTCTCACTCTATCACTCAGGCTGGAGTGCAGTGGTATAATCATAGCTCACTACAGCCTCAACTTCCTGGACTCAAGCAATCCTCCCACCTCAGCCTCCAAAGTAGCTACCATGCCTGGCTAAATTTTAAAAGAATTTTTTTGTACAGACGGGCATCTCACTATGTTGCCTACACTGGTCTTGAACTCTTAGCCTCACCACATAAGCGTCCTAACAGGTTGGGATTACAGGCATGAGCCACTGCACCCAGGCCCACATGGTCCTTTGTCTCTAACACCAAGAAGGTGCCTGAACTTGAATCTGTCTTGCCAGTATCTCAGCCAAGATAGTTGGCCATAGTTTTAGTTAACTACTGATGCTTAGCTTAAAAACCCAGCCAAAACTTACTTAAATAACAATGTATAATTATCTTTCAGAATTCTGTAGGGTGACTGGGCTCAGCTGGGCAGTTCTTGCTTTATGTCTCTTGTGTGTTTGCAGTCAGATGGCATCTGGGGCCAAAGTCATCTATAGATTTCACTGGGTTGAACATTCCAATGTGGCTTCTTTATTCACATGTATGATACTTCACTGGGTTGGCTTTCTTCAGAGGGTTTGTGGCTTCTCTCAGCTTTCCTGATTTATTCCTGGAGTAGTTCTGGAACAAAAGTTCACAATGCTGCACACTGCTCTATCTGTCCAAGTGGAAGCTGCAATCTAGTCCTGCCTCCTGCCTGCCATGATCCTCCATGGTGATCCCCCCAATTTACTGTCTTTTCATGACCTAGGGCCAAAGCCTAGCAGTTCTCACCATATTGCCTTTTAAGCTACCAAAATTGAATAATGAAGACACAGAACTATTTTTCCTCTCCAGTAGCAGCTAATGGAGCAGAAAAATCTGGATAAAGTATTTCAATATGAGCAGCCTCACAGCATGGTGGTTCCAGAGTAGTAGAACTTCTTACATGGCAGTTGGTTTCCCCAGGGTGCATGTGAAAGGCCGACTTGGGAACCACAAGATTTATGACCTAGTTTCAGAAATTTCAGTGTCATTTCCAACTCCCTAAAGCAGATCACAAGGTCAATCCAGATTCGGCATGGGAGGAGACTACGCCAGAGAGTTGTAGTGCACTGGAAGGCCAACACTGAGGCTAACTACCATGGTCCCTGTAGAAGGAGACTCCTGGAGAAGGAAGAAACTGTGGAGACAAAGATGGGGGAGCTAATTAAAAGATACTGAGCAGAAGTGGGTCTTTCATAAATTATGCAGTGTGGTGGTCTATAGACCCACCTATTTCACACCACCTGTCCCCCATGCCCTATCTTCTCTGACCTCAGCATGAAACTCATATATTCACCACCAAGAGATCTAGCATTTGTGCACCTTCTGCAAAGGGGCCATTTGCAATGAAAATCCCAGGCTGACATTTCAAAACTCTGCTAATCTCTCCCTCTCCAGTCTGTTATGTAGGCAGGGAGGAGGAAGAGGCACCTAAAATGGTGGCTTTGGGTGATTTGGCCAGCTCAGACATTTCTTACTAAACCCTGAAGATCGGTATAGATCCCCAGCTTTTGGTATTGGACACCTCTGTGCATGGATACGAACTGCATTCACCAATTCCACAGCAAGAGGGAAAGCACTATTTAACATCTTGTTATACTGGGCAAGGACACAGCTGCACACAAACCTGCATTATAGCTCTGTTTTTGCTACTATTATTTTCTCCAAATTTCATCCTGTAAGGCATGTGACTTAATGAATTTTCTGTGTAATTGTTAAAAAATGGAAAATGAGGCCAGGTGTGTAATCCCAAAGTAATCCCAGCACTTTGGGAGGCTGAGGTAGGAGGATCACTTGAGGCAATGAGTTTGAGACCAGCTTGGCCAACATGGTGAAACCCCATCTCTACTAAAAATACAAAAAGAAAAAAAAAAAAGGAGGGGCTTCAGGCACAGTAGCTCATGTCTGTAATCCTAACATTTTGGGAGGTAAAGGTATGAGGATTACCTGAGCTCAGGAGTTCAAGACTAGCCTGGGAAATATAGTGAGACCTCATTTCAATTAAGCATTTTTTTAATTAAAAAAAAAAAAATAGGCCAGGCATGGTGGCTTACTCCTGCAATCCTAGCATATTGGAAGGCCAAGGCAGGTGGATTTCTTGAGGTCAGAAGTTCAAGACCAACTTGGGTAACATGGCAAAACCCCATCTCTACTAAAAATACAAAAATTAGCCAGGCATGGTGGTGGGCACCTGTAATCCCAGCTACTTGGGAGACTGAGGCAGGAGAATTACTTGAACCCAGGAGGCAGAGGATGCAGTGAGCCAAGATCACCCCATTGCACTCCAGACTGGGCAAAAACAGTGAGACTCCATCTCAAAACAAAACAAAACAAAACAAAATTATGTCCTTTATCGCAACATGGATGCAGCTGGAGGCCACAATCCTAAGCAAATTAACACAGGAACAGAAACCAAATATTGCATATTCTTACTTGTAAGTGGGAGGTAAGCACTGAGTACACATGGACATAAAGAAGAGAACTAGACACTGGGGAGTACTGGAGAGTGGAGGGAGGGGGGCGTGGGCTGAAAATACCCACTGGGCACTATACTCACCACCTGGGTGAGGGGATCCATACCCCAAACCTTAGTGACGTGCAATTTACTCATGTAACAAACCTGCACATGTACCCCGTGAATCTAAAATAAAAGTTGAAATTATCAAAAGCAACAACAAAACTTATCTTTCATTACATCTTAGAAAGTTTTGGCCTTTCTTACTTTTAGCTTTATATCTTTTCATGTGATTTATGCCTTTACAATTAGTTGTGTGGTTTTTTTTTTTTTTGAGACGGAGTTTCGCTCTTGTTACCCAGGCTGGAGTGCAATGGCGTGATCTCGGCTCACCGCAACCTCTGCCTCCTGGGTTCAGCCAATTCTCCTGCCTCAGCCTCCCGAGTAGCTGGGATTACAGGCACGTGCCACCATGCCCAGCTAATTTTTTGTATTTTTAGTAGAGACGGGGTTTCACCATATTGCCAAAGATGGTCTTGATCTGTTGACCTCGTGATCCACCCGCCTCGGCCTCCCAAAGTGCTGGGATTACAGGCTTGAGCCACCGCGCCCGGCAGTTGTGTGGTTTTTTTAATCACTTTTTTACTCTCAAAAAAATCATGTTCATTGTGGCAATTTAAAAAAGAGAGTATGTATAAAGAATAAAATCTCTCAATAGATTTCTTTTTTTTTTTTTTGAGACGGAGTTTCACTCTTGTTACCCAGGCTGGAGTGCAATGGCGCGATCTCGGCTCACCGCAACCTCCGCCTCCTGGGCTCAGGCAATTCTCCTGCCTCAGCCTCCTGAGTAGCTGGGATTACAGGCACGCACCACCATGCCCAGCTAATTTTTTGTATTTTTAGTAGAGACGGGGTTTCACCATGTTGGCAAGGACGGTCTCGATCTCTTGACCTCGTGATCCACCCACCTCGGCCTCCCAAAGTGCTGGGATTACAGGCTTGAGCCACTGCGCCCGGCTAATAGATTTCTTAATTTTGCATATTGATTAAAAGAGCTAAAACCTTTAATTTATTAAACATATTCCAGATGGGCTTGGTGGCTCAGGCCTGTAATCCCAGCACTTTGTGGGGCTGAGGTGGAGGGATTGCTTGAGGAAGGGACTTCAAGACCAGCCAGGGCAACATAGCGAGACCCTGTCTCTATGAAAATTAAAACAAAAATATAAGCTGGGCATGGGAATTCATACCTGTAGTCCTAGCTACTCAGGAGGCTGAGTGGGGAGGATTGCTTGACCCCAAGATTGATTAAAGGTGTTCAGTAAGAGGTGTTCACACCACTCTACCCCAGTCTGAGTGACAGAACAAGACCCTGTCTCACAAAATAATAATAATAAATATAAAATAGTCCTATAATAGATACACTGGTGGGCAAAAAATGAGCCATTAATATTTATTAATCTTTAAATGATTTGTGGGACCTTTTAATATTCTCTATTAGGTTTTTATTGCTGCATAACAAGTTATCACAAACTTAGCAGCTTCAAACAATACGTTTCTTATGATCACACCACGCAGTTCCCATGGGTCACAGGTCCAGGCATAACGTAACTGGGTCCTCTAATCAGGGACTCACAGGCTGAAGCTAAAATGTTGACCATGCTGTATGTTCATCTGGAGATTTGACTGGGAAAGAATCTCTTTCCATGCTCATTCAGGTTGTCGGCAGAATTCATTCCCTTGCAATTGCAGGACTCAGGTCACCAGTGTTTAGTGTTTTGCAGTTGTCTGATGGAGGCCGCCCATAGATCCCCGAAGCTGCCTATACTGTGCTGCTATGTGGCTCTCTCCAGGGCAAATCACATGGCTGCTAGCTCAAGGCTGAAAGGACAGTCAAGCTCCATTCTGCTAAGAAGGAGTCTTACATAATATAGTGTAATCACAGGAGTGTTGACATCACATCATCTTTGCTATCTCTATTGTATTGGTGGGATGTGAATGACAGGTCCTAACTACACTCAATGAGAAGGGCATCAGAAGGCAGAGATCACTGAGGGTCTCCTTAGGGTCTGCCCACCACACATTCTCTATGCAATTCTGATTTCTCCTTGAAATACAAATAATAGAAAAAAATGACAAAGAGCTTCATGAGCATTTTATACTGACCTATAAAGGTCAACTGTGCTGCTTTAGGTCTGTTGCTTCAAGTATATGTTTGATCAGGATTTTTAAAAATTAACATAACTTCTTGTATAAGCACTGTGCTAAAATTGCAAAAACTAGGACCATATCTTGGTGTTTGTAATAATGCTAGCAAGTACATACAAGAATAAACATAACAGCATTAGATTGTGAAGACTGGGGTGAGGTCAGGTGCAGTGGCTCACACCTATAATCCCAGCACTTTGGGAGGCCAAGGCAGGAAGATTGTTTGAGCCCAGGAGTTCAAGACCAGCCCAGACAACACAGAGAGATCCAGTCTCCACAAAAAAGAAAAAACTTAGCCAGACATGGTGGCATGGGCCTGTGGTCCCAGCTACTTGGGAGGCTGAGGCAGGAGGATCGCTTTAGCCTGGGAGGTTTAGGCTGCAGTGAGCCATGATCACACCACGCACACCAGCCTGAGTGACAGAGCAAGACCCTGTCAAAAAAAAAAAAAAAAAGGAAGGGAGGGAGGGAAAGAAAGAAAGAGAGAGAGAGAGGAAGGAAGGAAGGAAGGAAGGGAGGGAGGGAGGGAAAAGAAAAGAAAAGAAAAAAGAAAAGAAAAGAAAAGAAAAGAAAAGAAAAGAAAAGAAAAAAGAAAAGAGAAAGATGATACCAAAGTGACACTAGTCATGAGCTCTTGTGAGGAAAGTTACTGGCTTTATCCTCTTTAGACTGCTGGTGTGGATATAAAAGATGGGTCTAGCTGGGCACAGTGGCTCACGCCTGTAATCCCAGCATTTTGGGAGGTCAAAGTGGGTGCATCATTTGAGGTCAGGCGTTTAAGACCAGCCCGGCCAACATGGTGAAACTCATCTCTACTAAAAATACAAAAAGAAGGCGGGGGATCACCTGAAGTCAGGATTTCTAGACCAGCCTGGCCAACACAGTGAAACCCTGTCTCTACTAAAAATACTAAAAAATGCTAACGAAAATTAGCCAGGCATGGTGGCAGGGACCTGTAATCCCAGCTACTCAGGAGACTGAGGCAGGAGAATTGCTTGAACCCAGGAGACAAAGGTTGGAGCGGGCCAAGATTGCATTACTGCACTCTAGCCTGGGCAACAGAGTGAGACTGTCTCAAAAAGTAAAAATAAAATTAAATAAAAGATGGGATCTGGAAAATCTTTCTTTCTTAGAAATTTATTTCCTAGTTCTGTAAAAATTAAATGATAGGTGTTCGCTATCATTTAATAATATACCTGTGGGCTAAAAGATGTAAGTGCTATATAAAATCAGCCAATTATGTTAAACTAGCATATCTGTCTTTATTGTGGTTGTCATTAGCCTGAATAGAAAGGCCTTTAAAATTGATTTTATATATATATATATATTTGAGACGGGTCTCATTCTGTCACCCAGGCTGGAGTGCAGTGGTGTGAACACCCCTTACTGCAGTCTTGAACTCCTGGGCTCAAACAATCCTCCCACCTTAGCCTCCCAAGTAGCTGGAACTACAGGCACGCACCACCCCACCTGGCTAATTTTGTAATTTTTTGTAGAAATAGGGTCTCATTATATTGCTCAGGCTGATCTCAAACTCCTGGGCTTAAGCAACCCTCCCAACTTGGCCTCCCAAAGTGCTGGGATCAGAGGTGTGAGCCACACTGTACCTGGGCAAAAATTGATTTTTGGGGAAAATATTTGAACGCATTTTGTTTTGTATTGTATTTATCCAATAAAGTATTTCAAGGCCGGGTGTGATGGCTCATGCCTGTAATCTCAGCAGTCTGGGAGACCAAGGAGGGTGGATCTCCTGAGGTCTGGGTTTCTAGACCAGCCTGGCCAACATAGTGAAACCCTGTCTCAACTAAAAACACAAAAATTAGCTGGGCGTGGTGGTGCACACCTGTAATCCCAGCTACTCAGGAGGCTAAGGTGGAGGTTGCAGTGAGCCAAGACTGTGCCACTGCACTCCAGCCTGGGCAACAGAGAGAGATTCTATCTCAAAACAAGAAAAAAAGTATTTCACTAGTAAAAAAAAAAAAAAAAAAAAAATTTAAATATAAGCATATTCTAAGACAGCAAGTGTCTTAAAAATTTTTGAAGCAATAATTTCATTTTTTTTGTTTCTTCATCACAAAGGTAATAAAATTTTGTAATGTGGCATTGTAATTATCAAAACAGGTTTTGGAAATACCCAGTTTTTGGTTCAAACCCCACTCATTTGCTATGGAAACTTATTTCACTTGCTGTTTGCTTCCATCTTCAGACCCTTGCACATGCAGTTCAATCATCCTATAAGAACTATTTACCGCCGGGCACGGTGGCTCAAGCCTGTAATCCCAGCACTTTGGGAGGCTGAGGCGGGTAGATCACGAGGTCGAGAGATCTAGACCATCCTGGTCAACATGGTGAAACCCCGTCTCTACTAAAAATACAAAAAACTAGCTGGGCGTGGTGGCACGTGTCTGTAATCCCAGCTACTCAGGAGGCTGAGGCAGGAGAATTGCCTGAACCCAGGAGGCGGAGGTTGCAGTGAGCCGAGATCGTTCCATTGCACTCCAGCCTGGGTAACAAGAGATAAACTCCGTCTCAAAAAAAAAAAAAAGAACTATTTACCTTCACCTCTTCTTATCTAGGTCTTTGCTCATCACTCACATCCAACAGTCTAAGGAAGATTTTCAAAAAGTATTTTTCCTCAAGCATGTAAGTTGCTCCATTACATGCTTGAAGTAAGCACCTGCATTCTTACTGACTGCCCAGCATCTGAACCTTCATCTGTGTCTGCGGACTCTTTACCAAATGAAGCAGCATGCATCCCCCACCACAGACACTGAAAATGCCAGATATTTGTTTTCCTATCCCCACAGCAGGGAGGAAACTGAGATACAACCTAGACTGCACCAGTCAGTTGCATTCACAACAGACTTTGAATAAATAAGGAGACTGTGAAATTAAGAAGCAGGGATAATCCATTGCAGTGAGGGGGCAGAGATGGTAACACCCTATTTCCAGAGGCAACAGTGTCAGGGATTTAGGACACAGCCTCGTGCCCAGTGTGGCTGGTGTGGATGCCAAAAACCATGGAGTGTAGCCCAGAGAGAGCAGTAGTATTGTCATCACAGGACCATGACTTTTAAAGGCATTGTTCCTAACTTCCAAGCCGTGTTCTCCAGCCCTTCTGGAGTTTCATCAGCTACCAAATGCCATTGTAATAAATTTTCCTTCTGCATATGGTAAGCCTCAATTGGTTTTTGCTGTTTGCTACTAAGAACCCTGTGTACCTGCTGCATCAGGAACCTCCCCTAGTCACCATACTTTTTATAATGTAATTGCTTAATACTCTGTTGCCACACTAGACTCTATGGTACTGCTCTGTTTTGTTTATCATTGAATCTTCAGTCCCCTATAATCACCCAAGAAGAAACTGGTTGGGTGAATGAATGAAACTCTCTAAGCTCTCATTTCCTCATCTATTAATTTGGAATAGTAGTTTTGTTTGTTTGTTTGTTTTTTGAGACAGAGTTTCCCTCTGTTGCCCAGGCTGGAGTGCAGTGGCACGATCTCAGCTTACTGCCACCACCACCTCCGTGTTCAAGTGATTCTCCTGCCTCAGCCTCTGAGTAGCTGAGATTACAAGTGCCTGCTACCACACCCAGCTAAATTTTTTTGTATTTTGAGTAGAGATGCCATTTCAACGTTGGCCAGGCTCGTCTCGAACTCCTAACCTCAGGTGATTCACCCGCTTCAGCCTCCTCCCAAAGTGCTGGGATTACAGGTGTGAGCCACTGCACCCAGTCAAAATAATAGTTCTAAAGAAAGATTGTGAATGTTTTTCTAACAGGAAGGAAACTTGGACAACCTCCATCTCAATCATCTCATTTTACAGACAAGGAACTGAGGACCCAAAAGAGTAAATAATTTGTCTAAGTTTGGTGGATGAGTTCAGGGCTGTTTTTTACTCCCAGGTCAGTACATTTTCTACACACCATGATGCCTATAAAATATTATAGGCATCAATGTTTTTGTCCCCCACCTCTACCTTCATATGTTGGAGCCCTAACCCATCAAGGTGATGGTATTGGGAGGCAAGGCCTTTGGTGGTAGTTAGGTTTACATGAGATCATGAGGACAGGGTCCCTATGATGGAATTAGTGCCTGTAGAAGAAGAGGAATAGACATCAGAGCTTTCTCCCACCACCATGGGAAGACACAGCAAAAAGAAAGCCATCTGCAAGGCAAAAGAGGGCCCTCACCAGAACCCAACCACATCGGCACCCGGATCTCAGACTTCCAGCCTCCGGAACAGTGAAAAATAAATGTCTGTTTAAGTCACCTAGGCTATGGCATTTTGTATAGTCCCCAAGCTCAGACAAACATTTTATTTGATGATATTTTCACTTTAAACTTAAACCGGGCCAGGCGCCATGGCTCACGCCTGTAATTCCAGCACTTTGGGAGGCTGAGGCTGGTGGATCACCTTAGATCAGGAGATTGAAACCAGCCTTACCAACATAGTGAAACCGTGTCTCTATTAAAAATACAAGATTAGCCGGGCGCGGTGGCTCACGCCTGTAATCCCAGCACTTGGGGAGGCCGAGGTGGGTGGATCACGAGGTCAAGAGATCGAGACCATCCTGGTCAACATGGTGAAACCCCGTCTCTACCAAAAATACAAAACATTAGCTAGGCATGGTGGTGTGTGCCTGTAATCCCAGCTACTCAGGAGGCTGAGGCAGGAGAATTGCCTGAACCCAGGAGGTGGAGGTTGCGGTGAGCCGAGATTGCGCCATTGCACTCCAGCCTGGGTAACAAGTGAAACTCCGTCTCAATTAAAAAAAAAAAATACAAGATTAGCCAGGCATAATGGCATATGCCTATAATCCCAGCTACTCGGGAGGCTGAGGCAGGAGAATCGCTTGAACCTGGGAGGCGGAGGTTGAAGTGAGCCAAGGTTGCATCATTGCACTCCAGTCTGGGCAACAAAAACCAAAGTCCGTCTCAAAAAAGAAAAAAAACAACAACTTAAACTGAAATATGTATGCATTTATTGGTAGGTAGCGCAGAAGGCAGGTGCAGGCATTATGAAGAATGTCCCATGTAAGATTCAAGTATGGCAACCAGCATATGCATTCGCGTTTGCTATGTGTGCTCAGGTGTGAGAGCCAGAGCATGAAAATTACTTCTACTCACAGGGAGTCTAGTACATACATTATTTTGTTCTCTCAGCAACTCTATAAAGTAAAAATTGTTACGCTGCAGATTATTAAAACAAGAGAAAAACAGACTCACAGTAAAGATAATTGAATTATTTTGGGTGCTGCAGCCAACCACCAAGTTGCAATGACCAAATTGAAGCTCGCTTATGACCCATCTCATGTCCCCATCTAAGTTACATCATAAAATTACGATCATGTGACATTTTTCATAATCTAGACAGGCCTTTCACTTCATTGGTCTGTTTAAGTCTTGCCACTCTTCCTACCTCTCTGAAGGAGGAGTTCATAATAATAGGCATAGGCTGTTAAATCTTCTTTTTCAGATTACCCGTAAGTATCCTGACTTATCATGCCATAAATAAGCTTAGGAGACCCTACTTCATAAATAGTTTCTTGTCCATGCATTAGGTAATAGGTGTGAATTTTCAGAAGTCTCTAAATTCAAAGCATTAATGAACCACAAATGGACTTTTAACATAATTGAATCCCGGTTACTATTCTTGACCTTTTCATTTATTTTCAGAAACCACTTCTCATTTAAGTGACACTTAGCTACCAAGAAGATTCACAGACTGATTCAGAGTCGAGTATGATGTCCTCACCGTTGAATGTTCATAGAATATTTTTTCTCTTTCCATAGTCTTCAGGAGCAACGCAAACGTCTAGGGGATGTGGGATTCTTATATGCTAACATATCTTTGGCATTAACTCCCCCAACTATTGAATGCAAGGCACACTTCCCCGGCATCCTAAACTGCTAATTGAGGGACACCGGCGCAGAGCGGAGTCGTTCAAGGTCACTAGGGCAGCAGGTGCGGGACCTGAACCGGCGCGGCCGGCCCGTCTCCATCTCCGAAGTCGGCTCAGCTCTCCGCCCACTCTTGGGACTCACCCTAGCCGGCTGTGACCTCACTGGGAGACCCTGGTCCGCCCGCCTTCCCGGTGACCCGGCTTGGAACCGCGCTTCTGGAAGGTTCCTCTGTGGCTGTCAGTGGGACGGCTCGGGGAAGCCGGGGCGGAGCCGGCGGCGGCCGGAGCTTCGGGCTACGCCTCCCGGGGCCGCTCCGCCACGCCTTTGGCGGAAGCCGCGCTCCGCCCGGCAGGAGACGCTGTAGTCGGGGGTCGGCGGCGGCGGCGGCGCCGCGCCAGCTCTTGCCCGCTCGCCCGCTCGCCCGCTCGCCCGCCGGCTTTCCGCCCGCCGGCTCTCCTCCCGCCGCAGGACCGGCGCGCTGCGCTCCAGTGGCCATGCAGCGCCTGGCCATGGACCTGCGGATGTTGTCCCGGGAGCTCTCCCTCTACCTGGAGCACCAAGTCCGGGTGGGGTTCTTCGGCTCGGGGGTGGGCTTATCCCTGATCCTGGGCTTCAGCGTCGCTTATGCCTGTTACTACCTGAGCAGCATTGCCAAGGTGAGCCGGGGGTGGCGCAGGGCCGCGGGCTGCTGGGCCCGGAGCGAGGGCAGCGGGTGCGGCGCTGGGCTGTACGGGCTGGGGAGGGCGGCAGCCCCCGGGACAGGCGGCGAGCTGCTCCCGAGCGACCGCCCCGAGCGCGCGCGGGAAAGCCGGCTGCCCCCGCCGCCCGCGCGCCCACTCGCCCGCCAGCTGGTGGGGGGTCCCGGCCCGGGGGTCCTCGGAGCGCAGCCCAGACGCTGCTGACTTCCGCGCTGCGGCGCTGCCCGGTTACCGATCGCGAGGCCGGCAGCGCATTCGGGAACGCCGTGGCGCTTTTGAAAATGACTCCCGGCCGGACGCGGGTGCTCACGCCTGTAATCCCAGCACTTTGGGAGGCCGAGGCGGGTGGATCACCTGAGGTCAGGAGTTCAAGACCAGCCTGACCAACATAGTGAAACCATGTCTCTACTAAAAATACAAAAAATTAGTCGGGCGTGGTGGCGGGCGCCTGTTATCCCAGCTACCCCGGAGGCTGAGGCAGGAGAATCCCTTGAACCTGGGGGGAGGATGTTGCAGTGAGCCGAGGTTGCGCCATTGCACTTATCCCTTATCGCGACTCTTGCTTTCCCTCGAGGGTTGGAGAAACCTCCGTTTCAGTCCTCTGTGACTGAATTCGTTGCGTCAGGCTTCCAGAAAGAGATGTAAGCGGAGGGAACCCTCGCGCAAGGGACAAGTCTGTGCCGGTGTCTGGCTTACGGTTGGCAGAAACTTTGCTCGTTCTGGACCCTTCTCTGATACTGCTTTCCCCTTCAGAAACCCCAGTTAGTGACTGGGGGTGAGAGTTTCAGCCGCTTCCTTCAAGACCACTGTCCCGTGGTGACGGAAACGTACTACCCGACGGTCTGGTGCTGGGAGAGTCGAGGACAGACGCTGCTGAGACCTTTCATCACTTCGAAGCCCCCGGTGCAGTACAGGAAGTAAGTGAATGTCCATTTTCAGTCATTTCTGCAAAATTACAGGGTTTTTTTGTTTGTTTGTTTTGGGGGGGGTTGTTTTTTTGTTTTGTTTTGTTTTGTTTTTGCTTATTCCCAGTTCTTGGTTAATAGAATCTCTGCTTTAGGAAGTATATAGAACAGAAAGAGGGAATGGAAATGGAAGGTGTGTCCCCGGCTCCACCCCCAGCTGCAGGAAAATACTCAGGTATTTGCCTCCTAGCTCCCGCCCTAACCACCCCCCTCCCCAAACACAAACACCTGATGTAAATGGTTTATTTTTAGGATGAGAGAAGTGTTTGGGGATTATTGTCTTCCAGTTTGTCATACATCTGTCAGAAAGACTCGGATCCTTTGATTATCTTCATCCATTCATTGATATGTAGCAGATACTGAGAGTGGGGGTGAGGTGAAAAGGATGCCACTTAACTTGGGTTTTGTGCAATTGATTCGTGTAAAATGACTTCCTGTTGACAGGCAAATGGGATCTTGATGATAATAGTTCTTGATATTTTAAAGATACGGTCCAGGGTTTATCAGGAACCAAGAGATTTAAATGGTGCCTGTTATTAATTTCCCTTAGTCATCTGTCCTTCTGGAGTTTATTTTGTTGCCTGAAACTTGCACTATTTGTTTGGGAAAATTCTCTAAGTTCATAAATACCGTGTGAGAAATGCTTTAAATTCTTTCAGAAGCAATTCTTGAAGCATGCTGTACAAGGAGACTGCATTATTGAGTCCAAAGAGCTAGAGCAGAGGTCAGAGATTAGATCAGCATTTTACTTAATTCAGACTTCCCTGTTGCATTAGTTGAGTGACCTCAATCAAACTATGGTTAAATGCTGGGTGTTTTGGAGTAATGAGTAAGTATTCATTTATCTTAATCATTCACAGTTCATTTTTAGATACGACTTTGTACGGAGGTTACTGGAAATACTTGATGGTACTAATCTTCATAAAATCCTTCTAATGAAAGAAAATGATCGATAGATGGAGATACGGGTGTGTGTTCATGAATGCTGGAAAATTATTTTTAAATGACCAAATAATGTCATATATTTTTAAAATTACAACAATATTAAGACATGAGTTAAAACATGTAAATAGTAATGTCTTCTTAATTATTCTTTTCAGTGAACTTATTAAAACTGCAGATGGAGGACAGATTTCACTGGACTGGTTTGATAATGATAACAGTACGTGTTATATGGATGCCAGCACCAGACCTACTATCTTATTGTTGCCTGGCCTCACTGGAACAAGCAAGGAATCATATATCCTTCATATGATCCATCTTAGTGAAGAATTAGGATACAGGTACCAGTAAAATCTTTCTTTCTTATTTTTCACCCAATCCATTCTAAATGAAGTACATTTCAGAAATACTTAGTATTTCTTGCATGGAAAAGCAATCCCTTAAATTATTATTTTTCTCTGCATTCTCGTTTTCCTTTTTTTTTTTTTTTTTTGACGATGCATAACTGCATCATCTCACGAGAAATGGCACTTAGCACAGTAGACACTCCATAGATTTAGGCTGGATTGATGGATGAAATTAGAATCAACTGAGCTTACTGAGCCCTGCTCCTCACCCCCAACAACCCTACCCCCCCCTCAATGGAGAGAGTATTATGGAGGGAGAATAGCAATTACAAACCCCTGTGAGAGTACACAGTGGCCCTCATGTCACATTCTGTATTTCAGCCTGGATTCACTAATCTTGTCACCCTGGCTCAGCTCCAAAGTGCAAAAAATATTCAGAATCAGCTTGTAGGTCATCCCTATTTATCAAAGGTGATCTATGCCTCTTCTGGCCACCTAAGTTTGCAGGTGCACTTGGCTAGTCTCCAGGTGATGATGCCACAGCTTTTCTCAATAACCATATTAAGCTCAGTCACCAGGTACAATGTAACTTTTTTGCAAGTGATTTAGCAACTTTAAGTTTCAAGTTCAGCTTTAGAATCTTAAAGTAGAGTCCTTGTAAAAGGCACTGCTTTTTTGTGCCTCAGCCTTTTTTTTTTAAGCTGATAGTAATTATTGTAATGGAACACTCTGTGAGTTGTATTTAAAGGAGAGTAGTATCTTTTGTTCACCTTGAAACACTTGTTTTAAGGTAAGCTGATGGTAAGTTTACCTTAAAAAAGTCATTTGAGGCTGGGCATGGTGGCTCATACCTGTAATCCCAGAACTTTGGAAGGCCAAGGCCGATGGATTGCTTGAGCCCGGGAGTTCAAGACCAGCCTAGGCAACATGGTGAGACCTAGTCTCTACAAAAATTAGCTGGGCATGGTGGCATGCACATATAGTTCTAGCTTCTGACAAGGCAGAGGCAGGAAGATCAGTTGAGCCCGGGAGGTAGAGACTGCAGTGAACCATGATCGTGCCACCGCACTTCAGCCTGGATGACAGAGTGACACCTTGGGCCAAAAAAAAAAAAAAAAAAAAAAGTTTGATGTAAAGGGGAAAATTCCATAATAGCTAACTTAATTTTAACAAGTTAATTATGATCTTTTAGAAATATAGCCTGTTTTGTCCATGAAGTAACATTCTCTCAGAAACTATGATATGATGTTCAAGAATTATGGTGTTCCAGAAATTTACTTAGCAGTAGCAGAAATTCATCATTATTCTGCATTTAAGCACCATCCAGTTAGATGTGAGCCTTGGTTGCTTTTTTTTTTTGAAACTGAGTCTGGCTCTGTTGCCTAGGCTGGAGTGCAGTGGCATGATCATGGTTCACTGCAGTCTCTTACAGGCGTGAACCGCTGCACCCAGCCTGGTTACAAGAGTGAAACTTCATCTCAAAAAAAAAAAAAAAAAAAAAAAACCACAAAGCACAAAAGCAGAAACTGCAAGGCCTCTCAAGTCCCAGGCTGAGAACTCCCACAATGCTACTAGTCAAAGCAAGTGACATAGTCAGCCCAGAGTCAAAGGGTGGGGAAATAGACTCCACTTCTTGATAGGAAGAGCTTCAAAGTATTTTTGCAATCTACCACAGAAAGCCAGGTAGTTTTAAAGACCACTAAAGAATAAAAATAGATCTGCATGGAATCTAGCAGATAACAGGGCTTGTGAAAGGCTGTGTAATATGAAGGAATGTGCATGGGCTTTGGAGTTAAGCTGGTTTCAGATGTTGGAACTGCCACTTTCTAAGGGACCCTGGACAATTAATTTAACTTCCCTCATCACAGTGTTCTCACCTACTTCACAGGGTTCAGTACGAATGTGTAAAGTAGGCTGGGTGCGGTGGCTCATGCCTGTAATCCCAGCACTTTGGAAGACTGAGATGGGTGGATCACTTGAGGCTGCGAGTTCAAAACCAGCCTGGTCAACATATCGAAACCCTGTTAACTGCACATGGTGGCATGCGCCTGTAATCCTAGCTACTCAGGAAGCTAAGACACAAGAATCTCTTGAGCTTAGGGGGTGGAGTTGCAATAAGCTGAGATCGAACCACTGCACTCCAGCCTGGGAGACAAAGTGAGACTTTGTCTCAAAAAAAAAAAAAATTGTAAAGTACTTGGTTGGGTGCCCTACACAAAGTGGGTGTTTAGAAGATGTTTATGTCGGCCAGGCATGGTGGCTCACGCCTATAATCCCAGCACTTTGGGAGGCTGAAGGGGGTGGATCACCTGAGGTTAGGAGTTTGAGACCAGCCTGGCCAACATGGCAAAACCCTGTCTCTACTAAAAATACAACAAAAAATTAGCTGGGTATGGTGGCGGGCACCTGTAATCCCAGCTACTTGGGAGGCTGAGGCAGGAGAATCGCTTGAACCTGGGAGGTAAAGGTTGCAGTGAGCTGAGATCACACCACTGCACTCCATCCTGGGCACCAGAGTGAGACTCTGCCCTGGTTGAAAAAAAAGGAGGGGGAATAAATAAAATGAGATGGGGACTGTTTGTCCTAATCTACGTGATGATAACCTGTCCATCGTCACTGGCAGATTGCATTACGTACTCTCTTGGATATTTCTTGCCCCCAAGAGGAGACAGTTGCTGAGCCAGATAAATTCTTTCAAATTTTATTAATCAGTTAAGTCTTCCACCTTCTGGAAGGTAAGTAAAATGAGAAAGGCCAGGAATGCCGGGTGCAGTGGCTTATTCCTATAATCCCAGCACTTTGGAAGGCTAAGGCAGGAGGATTGCTTGAGCCCAGGAGTTTGAGACCAGCTTGGACAACATAGTGAGACCCCCACTTCTACAAAAAAAAAAAAAACAACACACACACAAAACAGTGAATAATAATTTTAAAAGACCAGAAGTATGTTGAGAGAGAAGCCATCTTCCTGGAAACCAGAGGACTGGAGAAAAGGCAGTTATCGCTAATAATTTACAACTTTTGATTGGTAAAGTAGTTGGAAACCTTACCATTCATTCCACAAAGTATCCATTCAGTAATATAGCCTAATAGGTATTATTTTATGTATATGAATAATATCTTATTTTCTGAAATCCTTTTCCCATTCTCTGAATTGATTTCCAGTACCACAACAAAAACAAGGAGAAAAACAGTAACTCTGACAAAATCTGAATCATCTTTTATCTTGACTTTTTAAAATAGAGAGCCATGTGACTTGGGAGGAAAAAAAAAGAAAAGATTTTAAAAAATAAAACTGAGGGCCTTTATTTACTGTTATATTCCGCCTCCAGCTAATATTAACAAGAGTGACCAATCCAGAATTAGACAGTTATAAGTTTATTGAAATTTAGGCCATCATAAGTATTTTGGTGCTGCAAAGTACAATACAGAACCTGTTTTCAAGGAGCATACAGTCTATTCGAAGTGGCAAAGAGTATGCAGCAGAAAAGAAGTGTACATCAGAAAGGAGCAGGATTGGCTGTAAGTGGCAAAAAACTCATTAGTGACTTACAATGTAAGTTTATTTCTCTCTCATGTAAAAATCTAACAAGGTAGATTACAGCTTGTATGGCACTTGTCAATGTTAGGAACCTAAGCTACTTCCAGTAGTAGGTTGGTGCAAAAGTAATTGCAGTTTTTGCCATTTCTTTTTAATGGCAAAAACCAATTACTTTTCACCAACCTAATATGTTGCTTCATAACATGGATGCTTCAGCCGTAGCCATCACATCTGCATTCCAATACCCAAGAAGGAGAAGAAAGCACAATAGGAAAAGTACCATCTCCTTTAAAGATGCATTCCAGCAATTGTGCACACCACTTTTGCTTATATCACATTCGCCTGCTCTTAGCTGCAAGGGAAGCTTGCAAATGAAATTTTGGCAGGGGCACAGTGGCTCATGCCTATAATCCCAGCACTTTGGGAGGCTAAGGCAGGCGGATAACGAGGTCAAGAGATCAAGACTAACTTGGCCAACATGGTGAAACCCCATCTCTACTAAAAATACAAAAACTAGCTGGGCATGGTGGTATGAGCCTGTAGTCCCAGCTGCTCAGGAGGAGGCAGAAGAATTGTCTGAACACGGGAAGCAGAGGTTACAGTAAGCCGAGGTTATGCCACTGCACTCTAGCCTGGCGATTGAGCAAGACTGCCTCAAAAAAATTTTTAAAAAGAGGGCAACAGATCACTTGAGGGATTTTTGCAAGATTGTAGACTTGTGTTTTAAGACATTTTTTACTGTCTTGTCTATTTGCTACTGAGAGAAAGAGCTAATGTTTTGGTATGGTTTGACAGAATCAGGATCTCTTATTCTTCATTGCAGAGCCCACCTGCTGGTAGCAAGGATGTTGCTGTTCATCATTTATATTCTTTTTTTTTTTTTTAATGCATTTTAGGTTTGGGGGTACATATGAAGAACATGCAAGATTGTTGCATAGGTACTACACACATGGCAGTGTGGTTTGCTGCCTTCCTTCCCCTCACCTGTATCTGTCATTTCTCCCCATGCTATCTCTTCCCACCTCCCCACCTCCCTGTCCCTCCCCCATTTCCCCCCAACAGACCCCAGTGTGTAGTGCTCCCCTCCCTGTGTCCATGTGTTCTCATTGTTCAACACCCACCTATGAGTGAGAACATGTGGTGTTTGATTTTCTGCTCTTGTGTCAGTTTGCTGAGAATGGTGGTTTCCAGGTTCATCCATGTCCCTACAAAGGACGCAAACTCATCGTTTTTGATGGCTGCATAATATTCCATGGTGTATATGTACCACATTTTCCCTGTCCAGTCTATCATCGATGGGCATTTGGGTTGGTTCCAGGTCTTTGCTATTGTAAACAGTGCTGCAGTGAACATTCGTGTGCATGTGTCCTTATAGTAGAATGATTTATAATCCTTTGGATATATACCCAGTAATGGGATTGCTGGGTCAAATGGGATTTCTATTTTTAGGTCATTG